ATCAGAGGGATGCCATAACTCAAGATTGAAGAAGGGAAATTTTATGGTGAGTGTGAAATTAGGAAGCAAACCATGATGTCACACCCAATGCTGCAACATCAGACTACTTCTAAAGTGCTGGAACTTCTCCATATGGATTTAATTGGACCAATGCAGACAGAAAGCCTGGGTGGAAAGAGGTATGTCTATTTGGTTATAGATGATTTTTCTGAGTTTACATGGGTAAACTTTCTTAAGGGAAAATCAGACACCTTTGAAATCTTTAAAGAATTATGTCAAAATATTCAAAAGGAGAAAAAAGGTAAGATTGTCAAGATTATAAGCTATCATGACAAGGAGTTTGAGAATGCTAAATTCTTTGAACTTTGTGCTTCTGAAGATATCAGTTATGAACTTTCTTCTCAGCAAGATGGAATTATTGAGCAAAATACTAGGGATATACAAGAGTCGGCTATAGTCATGCTTCATGATAAGTAATTGCCATATCAATTTTGGTATGAGGCTATGAAAACTGCATGCTATATTCATAATAGGGTCACTCTGCGAGAGGGAACTTCAATCACTCTCTATGAGCTATGGAAAGGAAGGAAGCCTACAGTGAAATACTTCTATATTTTTTTGAAGCAAATGCTATGTCCTTACTGACAAAGACCAAAAGGGTAAGATGGATCCCATAAGAGATGAAGAGATATTTCTGGGTTACTCTTCAAGCCGCAAAGCTTATAGGATCTTTAACTCCAAAACTGGAATGACAATGGAATTTATCAGTATGGTGATTGATGATTCAATTACAAAACAAAGGATGGTTGTTGAGGACAATGTTGGAACATTATCTATGCAGACTAGTGAGGCCAGAATAGAGGAAAGTTGTAATTTCATTGGCATTGTGTCAGATAACTCTCAAGTTACTACAGGCCTCTCCATTAGAGTTTATGCAGAACAATCCAAGAAAATCATTGGAAGACACCCTAATGAAGGGGACACCATTGAATCTACAAAGGTAATATTAAACTCATGTCTTGTCTCCAAACCTGAATCAAGGATGAGTCTTATTGTTCAAGAGAAGAAGATCTTGAATTGTATCATTGGAACAAGAGATTATGGTATGCATTACTCTTACATCACAAATGATATGCTAAAAGAACTATGTAAGGTAGAATAAGTTAGTGATATGTATGGCTATTTATCTCCAACAAACAGTCAGATTGCCTGCATCAATAAGAAGTAAGTATGTGCTTCTTGGTGGACTGTTACAGCTGAAGAAGGTGAAACCAGAGGAGTTTGCCTTCAACTAGTGTGGATAAGACAGATGTTGAAGAAACATAATGACAAGGCTGATATTTTGACATTACATTGCGAAGATCTGAATGTTATTAGATATTTCATTCAACATGGCTAGAACAAGAACCCTGACAGGTATAATCAACTAATTAGGAATCTTGATGAAGGAAAGGTTATTATTTTTGGAGCATGTGGACACTAAGGATCAGCTGACTATTATGTTTACTAAAGCCTTATATGCAAATGTACTTAAGAACATAAGTTGTGAGGTAAGAACTGACACTATTAAGGAGTTGTAGCTATTACAGATATGTAGGAATGCAACAGATACTGCATTTTTCTCTATTTTCTAATGCTTGGTAGGCCTAAGCAAGTTACTGTTCGAGGTGAAAAGACTGGTGTGAAGAAGGCAGGTTCTAAGGATGTAACTAGGAGATCCATTATCACTCTTTCTGAAACATGTGACAACTTCAAGGAATGTAGAAGGGTCTTTAATAGGGGCAAGGGATGGAAGATTATCTAAAAAATATCTGTTTGTGTGCTTCCATTTGTGTGGTTCCATTTATGATTGTTTACATTTACTCTGTGTTCTTTTTATCAATTTTTGGCTAAAAAGGGGGAGTAAAGTGTTATTATTTTTGTTGTTTCTAATGTTGGATGAGGTGTCATGACTTCATGTCATGTGTTTCACTAGTGCTTAGGAAGAGTATCTTTCATTATTTTTGTTGGATGTATGCAATTTTTTTTTGGGAGCATGATAGCTTGTCATGCTTGCTGCTGCTGCTGCTACTGATGTGGAACCATATGTTGTGTCCGGGAGAATGTATTTTCTATGCAGTAGGTTGTGATGTTTAGGGTGAGAGTGCTTATGTTTTTTTTGTTTGGTTCTATTGTAAGAACTTACAAGGGTTCATGTGCATTTTTCTTGTGATTTTGGTTTTCCCCTTCAGGGGAAGTACTGGTTATGTATGACAGAGGGAGTTGTGTACCTGTCTGATATGTTGCTGCGAAGCTATAATTTGTACAAAACTTACATGTCCTCATGTAGCTTGTGTTGTTTTGATTGTTTTGTGATGTCAGACCAGGTGTCTTGACATTGTGATGTCATGTGTGCTCTATTGTTTTGACAACATTGTGTTTGGGTTTGTGGTTCTTGTTGTCAGTGTTTTTATTTTGATTCCGCTGTGTATGTCTCTAATGTGTGTTAAGGTAGTTTTAGCCAAAATTTGCCAAAGGGGGAGATTGTAAGTTCTGTGATTTATAGATTGACTACATTTTGTTAAAACAAAATTCTGTTAAGATGTTAAACCAAATGTTCTGCCATTATAGTCAGACATCATGTTCAACATGATGTTGTTACATGTACCAGGACATGTTATACCAGAAAGTTAGGGCATGACTATTTTGGTATTTTTAGCGTGATATTTGAGTGAGTTTTAATTCACACGTTTGCTTTATCCAAGGGAGGATATTATGGGAACTTCTGTTAGTTTTCTTAAAAATGATCCTTGAGCCTTTTTAGGAAACTTTGTATTTTATTCCTATTATTGTGCAGGAGTTTATGCTTATGACTTAAAACTAATTCTTGGTATTTTTACGTTCAAGAGCCCAAGCCTAAGTAGACATAAGGCTATTTAAAGAGAAGACCTAATCCTATTGAAGAAGGGAGTCACGTGGAATTTGGAGCATTAGAATTGACCGTGTTCTGGTTGGTATTTAGGGTTTTGTGTGTTTTTATTTGTATGTCTCTCAAGTATCTTCTAATGCATTAAGGTAAACTGATTGTTAATTGTTCATTCTAAAGCTTTTAAGCAATAATGTATTGTTCTTGGTTGAAGCTTTTAAGCAAAATCAAGTATTGTCTTGAAAGTGTGCTACTTCTATTGTTGGTTGTTGTTGAATTGTCATTGGAACTGTGACTGATTATGAAGTGAGAGGGGGATCTCATATCTAGAAGATTTCTAGGTAGAATTTGCACAAGGTAGGGATTAGGCAAAAAGTGTAAACGAGGGAGTTTAGCTTTGAACTAATACTATTATAGTGGATTTCCTTCCTGACTTGAGAGTTTCCAGATGTATGTGAGTTGCACCGAACTGAATTAATAACTACTGGTGTGAGTTTACTTTTCTCTCATTTAAGTTTCAGCCTTTTTAATTGTGATCAAACTGTTTTGATCCCAGTGTTGTGATATCTGGTATCTGTGTGCCAGAATTTCAACTCCCAAAAGAAATCTTGAAAATGTTCTTAGAAGTGAACCTTGGGACTTTAATAAGAACATCCTAGTCCTAGCTCGGGTCTCAGGCAAAAAAACATCCATCAGACCTTAACATGTACTATGGCGTTCTGGGTGAGGATCTACGATTTACCTCTAATGTTGCGGTCAGAACTATGGCAAAGAAATTGGGAGGCATTCTGGGAACCTTTGAAGAAATGGACCAAAAGGAAGCACACAGAAATGGCAGATTCCTGAGAATTAAGGTCACTATGGACCTAAAACAACCATTGAAGAAGGGCATTATGGTTCGTTTCAAGGAGTGAAATCTAAGATTTCACTTTAAATATGAGCGTCTTCCAACATGTTGCTGTGTGTGTCGAAGGATTGGTCACCAACTGAAAGATTGTGAGGCGATAGGAAAACTAGGCGAAGAGGCTTTGAAGACCTTGACGAACAGATTTATCCTTTGGTTTATGGATTATAGTGTCTCCACTTCCTAAATCGATAGAGGAACCAAGGAAGAAGAACTCCAACTCCAGTAATTATAGCAAAATATGTTCAACAACTTTACTAGCCAAAGCAAGTGTGAGAACATTGTTGTAGAGAAAGAAGGATTAGAGGTGGAAGTGGAAAAGACCAAAAGGAAGTCTATTTTGGAAAAGGAAGTCCAAGAGAGAAAGGTAGCGGTTCCAAAAATAATCTTTTGGAAATAGAAGCGGTGGCTGAATCTTTTGAAGCCGTGGACATTTCCAACAAAGGTAAGGAGGGTGGTGTGATTACAAAGGATACTGTTTCTAAGAGGAAAAAGTGGACCAGGAGGAAAGGTATTAGAAAGGCAGTCAAACTACTCAGAAGGAGATTGAAGTTGGAAAGAGGCAGTTAACGGATGTAATGATCACGGAGGGGACAATAGAAGATTGTGGAAGTAGTGATAAGAAAAGGAAGCAACTCAAGGAAGTTGGTGCGACACAAATTGAACCAGAGGTGGTGTTGGAAGACCAATACCGCCTAGCCCAATGAAGATCGTTAGTTGGAACTACACGGGGTTGAGGAGTCCCCATGCAGTTCGAGCCTTGTCAAGGCTCTACCGTCTGGAAAACCCAGATATGGTGTTCTTGATGGAAACTCGCCTGGGTTTAGAGGAAGGTTTGGTTGTAAAAGATAAGTTAGGTTTCGATTGCTGTCATGTTGTTGGCTGTGTTGGGGAGGGCAGGAATAGAGTTAGAGAGGTCTTATGCTTCTTTGGAGGGAGGTTACGGGAGTGGACATACTCACTTATTCAAATAATCATATAGGATGCACAATGGAGGATGAAAGAGACAATCATTAGTGGTTCTTTCATGGGGTGTATGGCTATCCAGAAAAGTTAAATAAGAGGAAGACGTGGAAATTGCTGGAAAATATTGTAAGGAACGGAGGAAATGAGGTGGTTTGTTTTGGGGACTTTAACGATATTTTAGCTGAGGAGGAGAAAAGCGAAGGAGTAGGGCGTTCATCTTCTCAAATGTCTTGGGGTCGTCAATGTCTTGACATTTTTGGTTTACTTGATCTTGGATTTGAGGTTTACTTGTTTACGTGGTCGAATGGTAGGTAGGGGAGAAAATATACAGTAAATTGGATAGGGCAATAACTTCACCTGGCTTTATTCAGAGGTTCCCTCATACCAAAGTTACTCATCTTTCCAGACATGGTTCTAACCACGTTGCTATTACAATTGACCTTGATGCTGACCTGGGCGAAGTTAAGAAAAAACATGTTTTCATATACAGGTTTGAGGAGATCAGGATAAAGGATGAGAGATGTGAAGGGCTGGTGCGACAATTGTGGAACGGTAATGGGGTTCAGGGATACCAAAAATTTTGTTCTATGAAGGGCTTGGACGAGCATTTCAAGGAGTACATGATTGGTTATGTTTCAAAGGAGCTGGGGAGAATCGAAGGCCTTTTGAAGGAGGAAGTTAGATGGTCTACAAGTGATACTGATATGATTTACAAAGCTTTGAAAGCTCAACATAACAAACTTCTGTAAGTGGAGAAGTCATCTGGCGTCAAAGAAGTAGAGCCTTATGGCTCAACCATGGTGTCCTGAACTCTAAATTTTTTCATGGCAAAGCTGAGCAAAGGAGAAAAAAAATGCTATTAAAAGAATTAGAGATGAAAATGGTGTGTGGTGGAGGGGATACGAGAACTGTGAGAATGTTGAGGAACTGCTTTAATGAAGTTTTCGCTACCTCAAACCCTTTAAATATCCAAGACACTTGCGAAGTAGTGCGAGGAAAACTGAATTTGGAGCATGTCAGTTGGTGTGATGATCTATTCACTTCCCAAGAGGTCAAGGAGGCTCTTTACCAGATGCATCCGTTGAAGGCGCCTGGTCTAGATGGGCTTCCCGCGCTATTTTTTCAAAAGTTCTGGCATGTGGTGGGAGCTGACTTGGTGAACATGGTGCTTTATATTCTCAACAACAATGGTGATCCTAGGCTGCTTAATAACACTTTCATTGCTTTAATCCCCAAGTGCAAAAACCCATATTCTCCTAAGGATATGTGCCCTATCAGTCTGTGTAACGTGGCCATGAAAATGGTCACAAAAACCATTGCAAATAGGCTGAAGAGAATCCTTCCAGAAGTGATAGATGAAGAAAAAAGTGCTTTCATTCAAGGCAGGCTGATCACGGAGAACGCCCTAATAGCGATGGAGTGTTTCCATTGGTTGAAAAAGAAGAAGAAAGGGAAGAAAGGAGTTATGGTTTTAAAACTAGATATGTCCAAAGCATATGATAGGCTTGAGTGGGAGTTTGTGACCACTACTCTAAGAACAACGGGTTTCCAGGAAAAGCTGGTATCTACCACTTATAGACGTATCTCCTCTGTCTCTTATCAGGTGCTCCTCAATGGCCAACCGGGTAAAAAAAAATTCCTAAGAGGGGCCTGCGCCAAGGGGACCCTCTGTCCCCTTATCTTTTTATTATGTGTGCTGATGTTTTTTCAGGTCTGATTAAACAAGAGGTTAAGAAAATGAACTTACATGGCATCCAAATTGCAAGGAAAGCATCAGTTATATCCCACCTATTTTTTGCTGATGACAACTTGTTGTTTGCTAGAGCAAGTCACGAAGAAACAATTTGCATCCTCAACATCCTCCAAAAATACCAAGAGGCTTCCGGTCAGATGGTTAACCTTGACAAATCGAAGGTTTCTTTTAGCCAAAATGTGCAAGATGGGGTTAGAGCTTCGATTCATAACATGTTGGGTATGAAAGATGTGGGAAGTCAAATTCGTTATCTGGGTCTTCCTGTAGTCCTAGGGAGGTTAAAGAAAGAAATTTTCGCCCCGGTGATTGAGAAAGTGTGGAAGAAGATCAAAGGGTGGAAGGAGAGGTTTCTGTCAAGGACGGGGAAAGAGGTTTTAATCAAAGTTGTTGTGCAGGCGATCCCAAATTACAGAATAAGTTGTTACAAGATGACAGATAGTGTTTGTCACGACATTGAAGGCATGCTTGCTAAATTCTGGTGGGACACGAAGGAAGGGAAGAACAAGATATATTGGTTGAGTTGGGACTAATTGGTGCGTGCAAAAAGTGAGGGAGGAATTAGTTTCAGGGGGATTGGTGACTTCAATACAAGTCTCATTGGAAAACACTTTTGGAGGCTTTTAACTGATAAAGATTCATTGTTGGGCAGGGTCCCTTAAAGGGAGATATTATCCTCGAACCTCCATTGAGAATGCTTATGTGGGCTATCAACAAAGTTATGCTTTGAGGAGTCTACTAGAGGCAAAGGATGTGGTTCTTTAAGGCTCTAGGTGGAGAATCGAGGACGGGGAACAAGTTCAGATTTGGCTGGACAACTGGCTGCCACTCAATCCAGGATTCAAACCTTATGGCAATGTTATTGAGGTTGGTGTTAAAACTAGAGTTTGTGATTGATAGAGATTCTTTGGCTTGGAGGACTGAGAGGGTGAATGAGCTATTTACTCCCTTAGATGCAACTCAAATCCTCAGCATTCCCCTATCTTTTAAACAACATATTGACAAAAGAATATGACATTTTGAAAAAGATGGCGAGTGATCATTTCGTTCAGCCTATCATCTTCTCCAACAATTCAAGAATGCCCTGAAGCCTGGCCCATCCAGAAACTCTTCTAAGGAGCTTTAGAAGCTGATCTGGCACACTCCTATCCTCCCTAGGATACATAATTTCCTGTGGCGTCTTGCTAAGGATATTTTTCCCACCAAGGTGCGTCTTTCTGCCAAAGGTATTAATACTGATACTTGTTGTCTTCTTTGTAACATGGCACCTGAGTCTTTAGAACATTTGTTCATGCGTTTTCCGTTCACAAAAGCTACCTTTTGTTCATACCTGGGGTATAAGATCCCTCCTCTTACGGGGATTAACGATCGGCTTTTGAAGATTTTGAAAAAGAAGGACAAATCTGTTTCTCAATTTCTGTGCACGACCCTTTGGAAGGTGTGGAATGCAAAGAATGAGTTGGTTTATAATAAAAAGAAGGAGCCATTTACAATCGCTCATGAGGCTTTGCAGAGTGTTTTTGAATGGAGTTCCGACAAGCAGGACCATTGGAACACTAGCAAGAGGAAACAGACACCTTTAGAGGAGAATATTAGAAGAGGTACAAAAGTTGTGCAGATTGATGCAGGCGTTTTTGGTGAAGGCTTTGTGACATTTGGTTATGTAATCAAAGATTGTGACAAGCGGGTGGTGAAGCAGCACATTGAGGTTGATTCTTGCACTGCGGAGATGTTGGCTATCCGTTGGAGGCTGCAGGTTGCAAGGAACCTCCATTTTGACAGCATCCTTGTGCAGTCGATTCGAAAAATTCTGTTGACTACATAAGTTCTGTTTAGCAAATAGCTGAGTTAGACCACATAGCCCAGGATTATAGGGTCTTACTGTCAAATTTCAGTTTTTCGTCTTAAACCTTTCTTAACAGGGAATTTATGTCTGACGTCCACCATATGGTTGGGGTAGGAAAACTAGAACTTGATTTGGTGTAATTCCGTTCCTTGATTTGTATTCCCTGCTTTTCTTCCCCTAAAAAAAAAAAAAGTTACGTGTCTTGAATGTGTTCGGTGTTGTATATTAAGTGTAAAAAAAACTTCTAAAATCTTGGAGGGGCTGAAGCTGCCAGAGGAAAACCTCCAAGGACGATAAATCACAGTGATTTCAAACATGCACTCAGACTTGACATTTTATGTTTAAAGATTTCATACAAAATTGCTACAATATAGTTATTTGATAAAATTATAAACATTAATCCAACAAAAGAAACACAGTCATATAGAACATCTGTCAAGTGATTTGAGTTTAATTTCACAATGCCTTTAGCTCATAAAAAAGCATATTGTATTCCTCTGAAATCATTGAAAGCCGGCAGCCACTGAAAACTCAACATGACAGCACACTATCCAAAGCTCCAAGTTCAATGAACAAAAGCATAGAAAACAAAACAAGTTAATCAACTAAGTCTACCGGAGACCAGGAGACGAATCAATTTCTGTCTACCAGAGGTTTTTATTAGAACTCCTCGGTCTTAATATTATCCATAAGATTATTATATCTCTTCTTTTTTTTCTTATATTTTTGTAGATACTTCTGGTGATGTGTATTTAATTTTCCAATATCTTCTTCAATCGCCACCAGCTCTTGTTTTTTTCCTTCAATCTGAGTCAAGATTCCCATAGCTTCTGGAGAAATGTCCAACTTGTTTGTACAAGGAAAGCATATACAAGGATTCCTACAAAACATAGTAGTAAGATCAGTAATTTGTACTCAAAACCTAGGCATAATACACATTTAAAGGCATTTAAAAGAATACATACCCATAACCAAGAGAAAGAGTTCCATTTTCTCTTATAATACCACCATCCAATGATACAGCACCCTCTTCTATACAGGGAAGAGCATCCATCATATTCTCTCTAGTTTTATAAACATGGAGCTTCTTGAAAAGGCTAAAGAGCACGGTCTCGCGAAGCCCGTACCCTGAAGTTGTCCTTGTCTGCAGGTGATGGGTGTCCAGATCAATCATATTAACTGCATAACCCATAAAGCCTGCTGGCGTTCTCCCATTTGGCATCTTGGGATCAGGCAAGAATAGCTTCCTCTGAGAGTCATTATCATGCAAGGACCCATTGTGTTGCCTGTCAATTGACTTGTATGGCCTATCAATGGAAACAATGTCTGCATGATGTCTTCTCTAGACAAATAAAAAATGAAAAGCATCTAGCCATAAATCCTTGTCCTATAACTTTTTCTACAAAAAAATATCTATAAAATTAATCAATTATAATATGAAAATTGTGGTTACTGTGACCTCTGAAATACTGCATTACCTTATATTTTCAAAGCACATAATAAAAAAACGCTTGCATATAGTTTTTCCAAGACCAGCTGCTTCAGCATGCAAAGCATGCAAATAATCAATTTCTCCATTTTTTTTGTATTTCTCAAGAGAAATTGCAGTATTGAAGGATTTACAAATCACACCCAACATTTTCTCTTCCCCCAGATATTCAGCTAAAATTCTGCAAATAAATTAAGATAAAAACTCGCTCAAAAGCACAATAAACATCAAAAAAATGTCTTGTTAGTGAACAAGTCATACAGGGGACATTTCGTTAATGATGGAATATTATGTTCAGTGTAAACAACATTATTTGAAATTTCCACAATCATCATAATAACATTCCCTACAACTACAATCACAATTTAAAACTAATAATTTTATTCCAAGTATTTTATTTTTGGTTGGCAGGGATGAGAAAAGAGAAAAATATGAAACCTGCTAAGCTCAGGACTCTGAACGGAACCAAGGAGAGCAACAACCCCAATTATATCTTCCAAGAAGTTCTTCTGTTGGTGCGTAGTCAAACTGCATAAGACAGAAGCTGCTGAATTTTCCATGCTTTTAATTGTTGTAGTCATTTCCTCTTTGGTGTTGGTGAACCCAGAGTCCACATAGTCTAATTGATAATGTTGAACATTATCTGCCAAATTCAAAACATACATAAACATCAAAACACTCATTTAAGACACTAAGATTGGTCTAATGGTCAATGGCTTGAGTAGTATGCATGAGATCGTAAGTTCAAACATCATTACCTCCACTGTGCACCCAAAAAACAAAACATGTCATTTATTAATTAGAGTAAACTTTTAAGTATAATGTAATGTGGTAACAGACTAAAACTAGCATTCATAAACGCACAACTATGTCAACAGATAAAATAACATCTCATAAGACAAAAAGACATCAAATGCAAAATTTTCTTTCAATGGACAACACCATACATACTTTTCAGCATCAACATATCTTTCTCAATCTCATCCTTTCGCTTCTTATATTTTTCAAGACGTTCTTCTGCTATTTGAATTTTCTCACCAATTTTTAAAATCTTTCCAAGTCTCTGCATAGAAGTACATCAAGACAAAGTCAAGTTGAGGCAAAAATAATAAACCATGGACGGATAAGTTTTTGTAATCAGCTAAACACAGTTTCATTGTTGACAATCTCCTAAATGAGAAAGCATTTTAGAAAAACAATAATTTTAATCTCTTGCAATCACCTAATAAGTTTGCTGTTATCGTGAATTTCAAAGCATGATAAAACAAAATGTGCCTTATTCGCATCTAAACCATTTATATTTGAGAACAAAAATCAAACAAAACACAACATAGTTCACGTCCGATACCTTGTCAGCTTCATTGAGGATAGATATTAAACTGTAATCATGATTAAGTGGTGTTAGTTCTGGCAGGGGCAAAATATTCTTATCTGAGAGTTGTGTAGCATCTTTCACATTGGACATTTTGATAACTTGAACCTGCAGACAAATCCCTTCCAATTATAATTCATAACTAGGCCAAAATATATATTAAAGGTGAAAATATATATATATATATATATATATATATATATATATATATATATATATATATATATATATATATATATATATATATATATATATATATATATATATAACCTCTAAATCCTGACGTAGCCTGGTATATTGTGAGTGAGAAGCTTCAAAACTAAAAGTCCCCTCAATTTCTGGAACTCTTATGGATGGGATGGTACAGCGTCCATGCTTGAAAGTGTACCGTATAGATTCCTCTGCATTGAAAAAGTCAGACTTAATTGTAAGCATATGAAACTGGCAATCTTGATCATCATGATGAATCTTCGTATCTACTTCTCCATCAATATTGACGATTTCAAATTCAATGTTTTCTAGTTGACCACCAACAGCACAAAAATCAGGCACCTGAAATTGCACACAAAAAATCAGTTAAAATTTAAGCAAATACACTATAGTTCAATCAACAACACAAGCCTTATTCCATTAAGAGGGGTCGGTTAGATGGTTCAAACTATGTCATAGTGTTCCATCCAAGACCATGCTTCTATCTAATCCGTTAATCTCGAGATCTTTTTTAATAGTTTCTCTTATAATTTTTTTATGTCTTTCTCTACCTCTAGTTGTTTGACTCATCTCCATAACTCTCTTTATAACAAAATCTACAGGTCTTCTCTCTAAATTTCAAAACCACCAAAGTCTATTCCCCACTATTTTTCTCGTATAGGTGTCACCCCAACTCCCTCTTTAATGTTATCATTTATAATCTTATCCTATCTAGGATTACCACACATTCAACTCAAATCTCTGCTACGTTTACTTTATTCTCGTGTTGATTCTTAATCGTCAAATATTCTGTCATGTACAACAACGCAGGTCTTATCACATTTCGATAAAATTTTCCTTTGAGCTTGAGTGGTGCGTTTGTGTCACATAATAAAACCCACGATGCCCTCCTCCATTTCAGCAACTAACTTGAATTTGATGATTTACATCCCCTTTTATTTCTCCATAACTTTGTATTACGAACCGAAAATATTTAAACTATGTGACTTGTGAGATGATATGGTCTTCAACTTTTACCTCTCGGTTAGAAACGCTTCTGATTTTGTTTAACTTATATTCCATATACTCTGTCTTACTTTTTCTTAGGCGAAAGACATGTATTTCTAAGGCTCGTTTCCAAGTCTTTAACCTCATTTAAATTCTCCTTCAACTCTAGTACTATATCATCTACAAAAAGCATATATCTCGGTGCTAACACTTGAATGTGTTCAGCGAGTACGTCCGCAATTAAAGAAATAAGGTAGGGGCTTAAGGTTGAACATTGGTGCAATTCTATTGTAAGAGAGAAATCGTCCGTCTCTCCACCCTATGCACGCACACTAGTCAATACCCTTTCATACATATTTCGAATAGCTTGAATATATGCAATCCTAATCCATTTTTTCTCTAGGGCTTTCCACAAAATCTCTTAAGGCACTATATCACAGACCTTCTCTAAGTTAATGAAAATTAAGTACAAGTCTTGTGGTTCATTCGATACAACTCCATCACACGCCGTAGTAGATAGATCGTTTCTATGGTTGACCTCTCAAGCATAAATCAAATTGATTCTCAATAACTTGAGTCTTTTTTCTTAGTCTTCGTTCAACCACTCTTTCCCATAACTTCATGGTATGATTCATAAGTTTAATCTCCCTATAATTTGCACAATTTTGTATATCTCTCTTGTTCTTATAGATTGGAACTAAATTGTTTCTTCTCCATTCATCTGACATTTATTTTTACCTTATAATTTGGTTTAAGAGTTTGGTGAGTCACCCACTGTCTTAATCTCCAAGAACTGTCTTCAATAGGTATGTCTTAATCTCCAAGAATTGTCTTCAATAGATATGTTGTTTGTCTCAACCGCAATTACTCATTCTTTTCAACACTTCTTCCCGCAATTGAAATATTTTTATTAAATAAATTGTAAAAATGCGTATAGAAAAAAATAACCTCAGATGCAATTCTCAAGCTTCTTCTCGCAATTGAAAACTCTTGCTTGAAAATACTTTTATTTTGAAAAACAACAGAGATGGATGCTGCATCATGAACCAAACAAATTAGATAATATGAAAAGAAGATATAAAAACGTTTTAATTTGCAACCATAAAGTAAATTTAAATAATTAACTAGTAATGGCACTGTGTCCACAACCTCAAAAAAATTGCAAGCTACATCGACATAAAACAGTTTGAAGTTAAAAAGTATAAACTAATGGATACAAATATGTAACATCATATTTAATTTAACAACATACCAATTTCTCCGTAACCTGCAATTAACTTTAGCAAACCATTAAGATTAATTTTTCCTTTATCATCCACCTGTAGATTAGAGTTTTCATTTAGCATATGAGGAAAAAAACAGGGAAATAAAAACTCATGTCTATATTGATATGAGGATATACATACATTTACCTACCTATATGTCTATCCTAGTACAACCATCCATGCAAAACATTCATCACAGTATACTAGAATAGAGTTTGTAAAAAAAAGCATTACCTTGTATGAAGTACTGCAATGATTTAGCATTTCAAACCCAGCCACAACAATATCAACCTCCGTGCCTTCAGGCACATGGTTTCTATATGTATCAAACATCTGGATAAAAGAAATACAAACAAATATGTCACCTAGAAACTTAATCTGATATAATGTTAGAAACACAAATATGAGGCTCTTAGTGTATTTGTAATTTTACATAGTATTAGTTGGCCATTCAACAAGTTAAATAAATATATGAACAATTTCATTAAGATCATCCAAAAAAAGTTTAATTGGCCATTCAAGTGAACATTTGGGTAATCGTTAACCCTTGAATACTAGAACTCCAAAAAGGGCAAAAATAAACCCACAAAAAATATATACCATTTAATCATTGATCGATTTAAAAGGATAAATGTTCTTTAACATATACCATTCTTATATATATTGATCAACACCATTATCGTTATAAAGGCACGTGTGTTCAATAACACCATTTAATCTATATATCATTCAATAGTTTTGTTTAGTTTTTCATCAAATCACCATCTACCCATTTGATTGGATTTTGCAAAGTTTTCACAGATCCAACCCAGCATATAAACGTTGAAACATTTGACTTTCCATTGTCTAATCACTTTGTATATTGAAACATTTGCAGAACTCAGAAGCTGTAGCATTGATCTATCATTTTAAACTTTTTCGGACATTTTTATTATTGTACTTAACTACCAAACACAGCCCTCCCATATAATGTTACATCAAGCATTAAAAGAATGAACTAAAACAAATGAATCATATAAAGACAAAATGTACATCAACCAACATATGTAACTTTGAGATACCTCCAACATTAATTCCTTGAAAATGAAACCTGGAAGTAGTTGGTTGTCTCTTATCTCAGCAGGCTTCAGTGTAACATGTTTGGGATAACTAGGAAAAACTGAGTACAAAACAAATAACAAGCATAAGAATAAACAACACTGAAAACTAATTTATTTCCTGATGAACAAAAAGACAAATATCAATCAAAAGCACCTCGACACGGAAAGGTTAGTGACAACGGAAATTTTTTTGAAGTAATAATCAAAGTAGCTGTATAGCTGGGCCTTATCTTGTCCAGTTCATTACATGTAACCATTGCATCCTGTATCAATTATTCCAAAAGAATGCAATAGTTAATTTATTTCAATCAACAAGACCCAAAAGTACACAACATGCATACCATGATTTTTAAAGTCATTTTATCAGTTGAGAGTCCAATCTTCATTCCATGTACTTCGAAGTACAAGTTCTCAGCTGCCTGAAATTGGATAGCCACATCCGGAGTTGTTTGAAACGGCGCTCGATTACCATGGATGTCATAACATGCAATCTCTAAGGTTGGAAAGTTAGAACCAGCCCTGCATAACAAATCATTTGTTAAACAATGGCATACCAAAGTAAACATTCTTGATCAGAAGTAGAAGTACAAGTTAAAATTATACACAATATTCCAACAATTAAAACAGATATGTCCGAGAAATAAACAAAAGGAAAAAATAATAAAAACTTTGTGAAGGAAAGACATGTTTTAGTATATTACATATTCATCAACAAACATCTTTAGCAATCATACCTTACATCTAGCTTTGGACTTTGGTCATCAGTTAGAAGTTCATACTTCTCGGCACAAAGAGAAGGCTTCTCTGTCACCCTTTTGTCACAACTTTTACTGATTGAGTCCACCTAACAGACAAAATCACCAAGGCACCATGTTGCAGTGCACGACGCCCAAAAAATAATTTACAAAGGCAAACTACAACTTACAATACTACATGAATACAAAGTTATAGAGAAAAGATGGCTATTGCAAGTAGAATAAAATTAAATTGACCGTGTATGAAGATTTTGTAAATGTCCTTCAAATTTTAGTTCTTCAGTTTCTCATAATTTTTTTCCTTGGGTTGAGTATACATGGATGAAATCCTCAACCTATTTGTTAAATAATTAAAAGCAAGTTATTTTATTGTTTGAATATAAGAGTACAAGAAACACTCTGTGCTCGATATTCATTTTTTTATTGGATGAAATAGATGTGGATCCCAAACTTTAAAAATATGTTTCATATAAAATGGTGAGACTAATATAAATTTCAATTAATAAGAAAATGACTGTTAAAAAGAGAGTTTCACTCCTCTTAAATATGAATATAAATAAAAAATTTCTTGGCATATTACATTCTAATTTCTATTTTTTCCCTTTCTTTAATCGCAGAAGTATTGCAACCAAATCTGTATCTCACCTCATCATTGAAAGTATAATTAATTGACAAGACAGATATAAAATGGAACTAATAAAATACTTACCACCCCAACTAGCTGTCCTCTTAAATATGAATATAAATGAAAATTTTCTTGTCATATTACATTCTAATTTCTATTTTTTCCCTTTCTTTAATCGCAGAAGTATTGCAACCAAATCTGTATCTCACCTCATCATTGAAAGTATAATTAATTGACAAGACAGATATAAAATGGAACTAATAAAATACTTACCACCCCAACTAGCTGTCGTTTATAACGGTTTGGGATCGGCGTGTCAAAACAAACAGGAGATTGCTGTTGTATCTTATTAAGTCGATTCTCCCATTCAGCACTTCCAACAGCTACAAGCTGTTACGTATTGCTTAGAAGTTAGAAATCTTAAAATTTTTCAACCGTATAAAACAAATATACAACAAAATTTAACCACCTAACCTTTTTTGTGTCGATAACAGTTATAGGTAAAGACAATGAGCTACCAACATTCAATGTGGGGTCTTCCTCATTGCCGTAGAGAGAACACCCCTTCTCATCCGGGATATCTATTGGCCTTTATATGCAAGCAAATGACAGTGAATAAAAACAATTTCAGAGGATTTATATGATTTTTGAAAGGCACAATTTTGCAAAAGTATGTACAACAAACCTGCATATAATCCGAGCTTCTCCTATTAACAAAAAAAACATTGAAAGTTGTCACTTGACAGAATAAGCTTATCTCACTGGTCAAAAAAGTTTATACGTATCACATTTTAACAAAGTTATTCCCTTTTTCTATGTTTAAACAAGCACACGTTGACTTTACCGTTAAATTTAAAAGCAATAAGATCAACATAACATATTCTATAATTTGGATTGTTTTTAATACATTTCGTTCAATACTATACTTTTCATTAACCTTGAATTTGGGAGATATGAGACGGAACAGACATTACTACATTCTATTTCATTCTATATTATTAAAACAAATAGGAAACGTTAATGCTTTACTTTATGTGCTACGTTCAGAAATCTTACCACCCGGGTCTCCTTCAAATCCTTCAAGCAAAAAGTACTCTATGGTTGCATAAAGGTTGTTGGAAATCCCAGGACATGCTCCTTTTAACACTTTAATTCTCTGTCCATTACTCCATGATTTTTCCTTTCTTTTCAGAATCTGGTGAACTCTTACGACTTCATATTAGCAAGAAAAATAGAGTCACCAAATGGAAGATTCAGTTTAGTCCAATAGCAGCAAATATATACCTAGTCTAGAGCAACAGTTCAAATATCCATATCATAAATTCACGTATCAGAGGATTAGCAAGGTTCATTTATTCCTTTGTTAGTATACATGAGCATTTTCTCCAAAACACCGATTTGAACTGCCACAAGCAACAATCATAAATAGAAGTAATTGCCATCAAAATTTAGTAAGTCATACCCTCTTTAGAAATGCCAAGTGCTTTCTTGTTTGGTGGACTGACAATTATAACCGGGTTATCCTCTGCGGTGGCATCAGCTTCTTCATCATATTGATTGTGCATGTTTATTATCCACTCCTGGTACTCCTTTTCGAGCTGCGCAGGAGTTAACATTCTTGTACCCGTGCTAATTTCAACAGAAACAGCTGCTGATTGTAAATAACAGATAAGTTGAGTACTTTTGAGTATTTAATAAGCAGAAAAAACCGGTCATGAGAATTTAACTTGAAACAGTATGATGAGAATTTAGAAGCAGAAAATACCAGTCTCTTTGTCTGAAATTTTACTTCCCAGATTCTTCAAAGCAACGGTGAAGTGATTGTGGTGAGCTAAATCCGTCTGAAAAGGCATTATTCTTTTGATTATCCTTAAATTGAGAAAAAATTAAAAGAAAACAATATCATTTTGTATATTAGTCGATCATACTAGACACATAGCAGACTCATTAGATTTATATCCAGTTATACTGTTTCTCAACTTTCCCGTGGTTTCGTACTTCAAAGGAGTATACATGTATACACAAATATGAAAAAGCACGAGCACTTGTATTTTCTTGGAAGGATTAATGGAACATACATGATGCATCTTTATATGTGCACCACGTAATATGTAATTGTAGCCAATATGATTTTTTAAGCATGTAAATTATCACAACAATGTTCAACAGAAAAAAGATCACCATAGCGACGGGCGCACAATTTATTTACTAATATTTTAAACTATTGCAAGCCTAACCTTTGACTGGGTTGGCTTAAAACCAGCATCAGTTTCTGCAAATTAGAAAGTCAGACTTAGATGACCAACGAAAGAATCATAAAAAAGTATGAGAATGTAAGGTAACATACGGTTACTACATACCAACAAAGCATTTAACCCTCAGAGAACATCTCCTCAATATGCTTCCTCTACTGCTATTTACTCTTTTGTTCCTAAAATCCATAAAAGGAAGGAAGGTCTGACCAAAAAGAATTGTAACTGATCAGCAACCTTTAAAAGATGATTTTCCATCAATTAAGCATAAATAACTAAAAAGTCAATCAACTTTAAAACAAACAAATAAGTTAATTGAAAGAAATATGGTTGAAAATTTTAGTATTCATGACTGATTTTTATGTTGATAAAAATAAAACTATATTAAAGAACATGTTTATGAGTTTTCTATCAAAAATATATTTATATTATTTATTAACCATTTAAAAAACAATATTACTTTCAATAATCTATCAACAAGTTCAGCGAAAAGGTTTGAAATTTACCCAACGAGCATCTGGAAGGAGACGACCAAGCCGCCTAATGGAGACCCGGCTAAAATCTTGGAAGTTTTCTCTTATAATATAACCATCGGCCGTTAATTTTTCCAAAACCCTCTCAATACTCTCCTTTCCCTGCAATAATGTATGGATTCATTTGATTAGTTTTGATTATGAGAATACTACAGGCTATTTATTTTTGTTACCTCTGTGAAAGGGAAATATACAAATCTAAGGCGTGCATTTGCTTCATGGAATCCTCTTGTGCCTAAAATATGGTTATTCAATTAGAACTCAACACCCACATTTCTTTACAGTTAATCAGGTGAAATGGTTAAGCTGTACAATGTTAGACATACTGATTAAAAAAATCATTTAGCTTATCTCAAACTATACATTGCTAGATAGAATTATAATTCATGAACATACCATCATGGTCATCTTTAATTGACATACGAAGCTGCAGAACAAATTCAGGACCATTACAAGAATGCAAATTGGTAGTTGCGACCTCCCCACCCTGAATCTCTGTCAGATCAACGCCATTGACCTACAAAAGAACCAAACTTGTTACAATCTTGTATATGCAGTTATGTGACATCAAGTAACCCTTTCATGGAACACAAACTACAATTTTTCTTCAAAATATTGAAAGTGACAACTATAAATTGTATAGCAGTGCAAAGCAAGGAGTCTGCTGCCAGCCACCAAAAGAACAAGAGAATCCGCCATCAAGATTCAGAAATTCGATTATGTGTCTTGTTTATTTGTTTCCCAATATAATCTACTAAGCAAAAAAAACCAAACCAAAGTGTAGAAAGCAATGATACTTACCTAAAAGAAGTTTCCGCAATACCTGTGACATAACACTAATGCCAACTCGGCAATAATTAAACTAACTGAACATGTATAACAGAATTACATTATACAAGTATCCTTGAAGAGTTGAGTGTAGCTCCTAGTTCTAACATTCATTGAGTACTAGACACAAATACGCTACCAGATTAATCCATAATAGTATCAATAAGCTAAGTGAAGGTAATGCTGGAGCAAGAACCTGAAACTCAATTGGTGTAATAGTCTTCCCTCCGGCAGACAAGTCATCATTCTGCAGGAATGAAACAAATTAAAAGGCATGTTTTCAAGGCAATGACAACAATATTTAGCCAAGGAACAATAATGTTTCAGAGGTATGTGACCAACTTTCTGTTGCATAAAAACTGAATGAACTAAGATTTTTTAGAACATTATGGTGGATTGCTGTGATAGTTCCCTCCTCATAAGTTATGACTTATTATGGAATCTCTTAAATGGGGCTTCATCATTTACAGGGAAATGTTTGTGAGAAAACTATGTAATGGCTATTCTTAAAATCTTTTAGCAGTTAAGGTTTAGTTTGATAAAACTATAAATGATAGTGACAATTATAAAAAAAAAGCAATTAAAGGGGTTGTTTAGATATAAAATATTATATTAATTGTATCCAAATGTGTACTTCTTAAAACAAGGATAATGAAGCTCCACTCAGTCACCACATTAATCTTTTATGTAAGGATAAATTTAATTTTGTTCCATTTCTTCTTTCTAGAATATTCTCAACTAGTCTGGTTCATGCCATTTGTGAAAATGCAAACAACATCCAAATATAGATTTGGATGAAATATCGTTCTTCCAGACAATTACAGCCAAATAGTTTTGAGCACAAGAAACAAACTCAAATATAGTTGGGAAAGGAAAATGATCAAAGGAAAGAAACATAAAAAGACTAACAAACTATTAATTACAATAAGCAACAATACGACAATAAACAGCAGTAGATAAGATATGAATTTAATGGGTACTGCAAATGTAAATCATAATAATGATAAATGTTAACTTTTATATTGACAATATTAAAAGGAAAATGAACATATGAAGCAATCTCATATGTTAAATTGATTCAATTCATAGGCATGTTTTAACCTGAATGTAGGGAAAATATATGTCCTTGAGGCGACACTGGAGTTTGTTAATATCAACACCTTTTACTTTTGGATTGTAAATATCAACCTGCAAAAGTACCAAATCTTATGTTCAATTTCATCCTTACCCATTCTTTATTACCAAAGCTACTTCATGAATTTCATATGTTTCCTTTCTTCAGCTTTCTGCGGAAGGGTATAATAATAAAGAAACTTGATTTTCTTTTCCCTTTTCCTCCCCTCCGCTCCAATAATAACATTTAGGATATTTATTTTTACTCCCATTGCTTTCCTTCCGTCCATTAAATTCCTTCATCTCCCATTTTGCAATGCTGCTGAAAACAAACAAGAATAAGCCAAAGACGAGAGATGCATACCTTTGTAAAACTGCCATCAGAATTACTAATTTCATCCTTTACGGGCTCTCTTATGCCACCATTGGTCTAAATGAAAAAGAAAATGATACTATCAGTTGAGAACATTAAAATACGATGATAAAGCATGCATTAAAGCCATTGCATTGTTAGGGAAACATGAATACCTTCCATGTAACTTCAGAGTTAGATCTATTTAACAAAGCTTCTCTCTGAAGAAGTAACATGTAGACTTTCTTTACGTGTTTTGTTTTGGACGAAACACAAGTACGCCTGTAATGTGAGAATAGAAAAAATAAGAGAGGGAATGATAAAGAGATAAATTTTGAGATGTACTTGAACAGAAGAAAGACAAAAAGGTATTTATCTTAAAAACAATCATACCTCCCCAAGTGCATAGATGCTACAGGTCCTCCATATCCAAACATCCCAAAGTAAGGCTGCACAGCACAATCAATACAACATAGCAAACAATAATTTGAAATGTGCAAAAGAGTAATCAATCCCAATCCCGATGATTAACATGTGGATTTTTCTTTGTGCATAAGCATCATCACAGACAACAATTTGACCAGAAGTGTAGATAAAGGAAATGCTTCTGGTCACCCATATATTATTTGAAATGCTTGTCCTATCTGAACATTGTCAGCAAAAAGAATAAGAAATAGTGTTCAATGAAGGTATGTGATCCTAGCATAAAGATACTTTTTCGTCCAAATGTTTGTCCTATTAGAGCATTTACAACAAAGATTAAAGGGTGAAAGAGGACAAAAATGAAGAATACCCTTAAGTATGGGGGTTTTCCCCCAATAGCCACTGATTTTGATAATCTGTGAACTGAAGCACCCATCTTTCCCCTGTGCAAGAGATAAGAAGTCCATAATCAAGAGAAACGGTGGAATATGCAAACAAATAAATCTTAAAAGGCAATGGTACAAATTAATTGAAAGTCACTAAAAGTGTGATTTAATATTTTAAAATTTAAAGTCTATTGTGTTAAAAGACAAATACTCATTTATTCATAACAAAAGCTAACAATATTTGAAACTAGGTATAGTTTATAAAAACACTATAATGTTTTAGCATGATTGGAATTTTAGGACTTGTTTTTGGTTTTGAGAAAGTTATCATGTTTGGACTAGCAGATACTTGTAAAACAACAAAGGTGAAATGGAGAACACAACAAGAAATATAAAAACAAAATGAACATAAGGTGGGATTCTTGTCAAAAATGTTTTTTTCAAACCAAACACAGTACTACAACTTCAGACTTTGCTTTTAATAAAATGAAGGTATATCTGATTGTTATATTTAACACAGATAACCAACAAAATCTGAAAAAGATCGTTAAACTCTTCTAACTGAAAACTATATCGCCTATTACTATCTATGAACAGTACAATCAATTTCAGTCTCTCCTTTATATCCATTTTATTAGATATTAAGCTTGATTAAGTTGAAAAAACAAAACCTTTTACTGAAATTTTGATCATGACGCCTAACTTTGAATCTCTTTGGCTATCAACATAGAAAAAGAGTTCAAATTGATATGTCAGAGATCATTAAGCAAGAAAGTGACATATTGTGATAGCATTTAAGGAATTGCATGCAATGAAATTGAGTCAAAAAGAGAAAAGGCTGAAATCAGTTGATCAACAAATCTGCACTTACCTAAGTTTTAAATAACAAAAAGTTCAAAAGGCTTCTGAAAGTAAGTGTATTTCAACTCAAATAACAGAATATCATAATGTACTTTGCAACTTCAAAAAGTTCATGAAATAATCTAAGAACAAATAGCTACCATTTTACTAGTGAATTCTCATCGGTGTCATCCATTCCAGAACCATTGTCAAATATTGAAATCTTATCGTCAGTAACATTTACTCTGCAAAACAGAAAAAGTCACAAGAACAAGTGATAATTGATTGCACCGGTCTAAGAAACCAACAAACAAACACTAGAGATTATAAAAATCAACTATGTATTTCAATACATTTATTATGATAAAAAATAGTTGAAGATAGTTTATGTCAAAAATGGTGGCACCTATTAATCATTAGAAACTCAACAACTTAACTTCCATAGAAATTGGACACATGCAATGCAATATTTTAAGCTTATTTTTATGTTTTATAGTCTATAAATTCTTATGTTTAAAAAAGATATGTTGAATAAACTACTATGAAATGCAAATAAAAACTAACCATAGTGTTATATAAACTACTATGCAATGCAAATAAAAACTAACCATATGTTGAATAAGCTATATAAACTACTATAAAAACTAACTTACCACCGAACCATTATTTTTATGCAAAACAGCCATTGTGTTCCCAAGAAGCTATGGATTTCTTGAAGATTTTGCTATAACCAGTGCTTTAGGGCATATAAAATCAATTTCTTTAGGGCTACTTTGACAACGCTATATAACAACTATTACAAAAATGTGTAGATAATTTTAGGAAGAAAATTACTTCAATATCCCTAAAACTCCTAGCTCTTTCTACTGACATAAGACTGATGTCAAATGGCTGATTCTTTTTATCCTGAACTCTTTCGTCAAATAAAGGACAAGAAAAACGAACAGGTTGATTCTAATTGAAAGGGCTAGCGTTTTATAATGTGACGAACTAAAATGTAAACTAAGATTAATAGAAGTATTCACATTTAGTATCGGACATTCCTCCAGTAGTTCAGACAAAAAAGAAATATCATTATCACATTCATATCATATGCAACTATACCTGACAAGCTTCCGATTATTTTTCCCGTTGAACCACACAGCTTGCAAAGCATTATCCTGATAATATATGAATAACAGTGTTAGTGTTGATATGTGCAAAACCATCATAAAAAATTTGAGTTTATAGTCTGTTTTGTCAATGAACTCACAATCAAGTCAGCAATAGCAGCTTCAAAATTATACTCTTCAGGAAGCTCCAGCAGCAAATCTGTATCCGGTGTTAAGTCCCACATATTCTGCATTTCAGACAGATGGAAAAATAATAAGAAATACGACAATGGTGTCATATTGTTTAACAATATAGCTGATAGGGGGCAGAGAAACAAGGGAGATTCCAACCTCAAAGGTCTGAGCAACTTCGCTACTCCCATCCTGATTGAAAAGAAACACAGACAATGAAAACAAATACCAAAGCTTCAGCAACAAAGCAAAGAAATAACAATACCAAACTCAAAATTAGAGTAAAGAAACACCAACACACAATAACATAAACAGAAGGAGGCATAATCAGTGTGATATACTTACATTAAGGCGCAAAATATGGCACTTCCGAGGCATGAAATTTTTTAATTCGATAACATTTCTGATCTTATTATCAGCAGCATCCTCAAGATACAAACCACTTCCCTTCCAATTTATATCCCTTTTCTTCTTCATCCATTCACATTTTTTCAGACTTTCCAAATACTTTTCTCTAACTAATCCAACAAAATCCCCAACATGCATTTCATTTTCTGCACTCCACACTTTCAATTCCACGCTGGTTCCATTCGGCAACAAAACCTTGAACCTGAACTCTCTTCTTTGTATTCCAATATCATTGTCATCGTCGTCACTACTCACAATTTTCCTCTTTTTAGGGTTGGTAACAACCATTGCCCTTTCCATGCCTCCACTCTGCAAAAACAGAAACAACAACAACAAAACTTCAATACTATTTATATTTCAAAGTTCAAACAAAGCAAAAAAAGCAAAATAAAATGTATATATACGAAAACAGAAATTAAAAGCGATTTTGATTTCGAAATCAGATACCTATAAATAAAAACTTACTTAACACGCTTCAGAGTTCAAAACAACGTAAGCAATCTAACGTCAAAAACGAGAACAGAGTGTGAAATGCACACTGATATAATCTTATGAAATGAATGTAACAGTGATTAACCAGAAGAACGCAATGATTTCAGTAAGCTCTTGCTGTTCCGTGTAGAACAAGGAAAGAAAACGAAATCGAAAATGGAAGTTTTAAGTGATTTTAGCACCGTGGAAGTGATTATGAAAAGCGTTTCTGCGGTTAAAGGGTTTTGTGTCGTGGAAGATAAACGGTTTTGAAGCTTAGTGGGTTTGCTTGTGTGTTTGTGAAGAAAAGTTAAAAACAAAAATGAAAATAGTGTGATATTTGAGAAGATAATAAGACAAATAATGAAATGGAAAAAGGAATTAAAGAAAAAGCTGTTTAATACTATAAAAAGAGCTCCAAGTCTCCAACCTATGAGAATTCGATTGCAACCTGCAAGCTATAATAATAGCAATTAAATATTACTACAAAAAATAGGTGTAATTAAAAAATCAAAAAAAATTTATCAAACAACACTGTAATAATAATAAGGAAAAGAATCGGCAGCACCTCTAGCCAGTAAAAAAGTGACACGTGGAATAGGTTGTTTGAGTAGTGCAGGGTGCATGATCCTGTACTATCAAATTCATTTTACTGCTACAAAGTTGGAGGATATTTTTGACATTTACATCAAAATTGTGTTATTCAACTTCACACATCATTGATTAAAAGATTGAAGGAAAAAAAATGCAAATCCAACTTCAATTGCTAAATAGTTCTTCTCAAAATATCTCTATTTCGGATTTTCTTTTTCTACTTCTTTTTTTCAAGTTGATTTTGAGATCTAAGAGTTCTTAAAATATTTTTAATACTAAATTGTTATTAAAAATAATTCATATTTATTAGTTGTACTATTTTCTTAACCCCTAAGTTTGTTAGAGGGTATTTTAGTATTTTTATCTTATTCTATTAACCCTAGTATTAGTTTATAAATGGGGTAACAATCATTGCAATTTTGTAGTAGTGTGTAGCCGTCATTCTCTTAATAGAATATTTCTCTATTCATCATTTATTCTACCTTTGCACCAACAATTGGTATCTAGAGCTCCGGTTCGGATTCATTGGGAAACACGGGAAACACGAGTGAACGTGAGGTCTTGTGTGTTTGATTTTGATTCTTAGATTCGTGTTGAATCTTGAACAAAATCTGATCAAAATTTTAATTCTGTGGGTTGGGAAACACTGTGTGAGAAATCTGAGTGTATTGTGCAAGGTAGAAGATGAACGGAAACGGCAACATGAACACCAAACTTCTAGTATTTGACGGTAAAAACTAGAATCGTTGGATGATCCGAATGCGTGTACTGTTTGGTGCTCAAGATGTTCTGGATCTTGTCACTGATGGTTATGTTCCAGTAGCAGCAAATGCAACAGATGAACAGAAAAACGCGCAAAAGGAAGTAAGAAAGAAGGATCAGAAAGCATTGTTCTTCATTCATCAATGTGTGGATGTAAATGTGTTTGAGAAGATTGCAGATTCAACAACAGCAAAGGTTGCGTGGGACACACTGGTGAGATGTTATGGTGGTGATGCATCAGTGAAGAAGGTGAAGCTTCAGTCCTTGAGAAAACAATATGAGAATCTCAACATGAAGAATAATGAGAAAGTCTCTGAATACATTTCCAAAATGATTCTGATCACTAATGAGATGAAGGCGTGTGGAGAAACTCTTTCTGAAGAAGCAATCATTGAAAAAGTATTGAGATCCCTTACCCCTCAATTTGATTACATTGTGGTAGCAATATAACATTCCAAAGATCTGAGCACCATGAGAATTGAAGAGCTGCAGAGCAGTCTAGAAGCGCAAGAGTTGCGTTTGACTGAAAGAACTTCTGAAAAGGAAGTAGAGCAGCAGGCTCTGAAAGCAACTTCTGATAGAAGGTATCAGAAGCATTCAGAAGCCAGGAGAAGATCTGATGGTGATCAGAAGTCAGAAAGCTCAACCTCTGATAGACAAAAGAATGCTCAGAAGGGAAAAGAGAAGTATGACAAGAAGAAGATCAAATGTTACTGTTGTAAGAAGTTTGGTCAATTTGCTAGAGATTGTTGGTCAAACAAGGAGAGAAAATCAGAAGAGGCAAATATAGCCAGAAGTTCTGATGACGAATCTGTGCTATTGGAATCTGATAATATGGATCTGATAGACTGGTGGTATATGGACACTGGTTGTTCAAATCATCTTACTGGAAACAAGAAATGGCTGGTTGACTTTGACTCTGAAAAGAGAACAAATATCAGATGTGCTGATGACAAATATCTTAATGCAGAAGGTATGGGAAATGTCAGAGTGATTCTGAACAATGGGAAACAACATTGATTCAGAACGTGTGGTATGTACTTGGCATCAGAAGCAATATGATGAGTGTGTGACAATTAATTGAGAAAGGTTTTTCAGTTACCATGAAGGACAATCTTCTGAAACTGTATGACTGCAATCAGAAGTTGATTATGGAGTCAGAACAGGGAAGGAATAAAACATTCAAGGTGAATGTCAGAACTGCAGACTCAGAATGTCTTAGTGCAACAAGTGCTGAGAAGGAGAGTGAGTTGTGGCACAGAAGATTTGGTCATTTGAATTTTAGAAGCATAAAACATCTGAATTCAAAGAAGTTGGTACATGGAATTCCTGCAATTAAGAAGCAACCTGTTGTGGCGTTATCAACCTGTGAAGCTGAATACATTGCAGGTGCTGTTACTGCATGCCAAGCTGTGTGGATTCTGAATCTGTTGCAGGATTTGAAGATTAAAATAAACAAACCTCTGAAGTTGATGATTGACAACAAGTCTGCAATCAATCTTGCCAAAAACCCAGTGTTGCATGGGAGAAGCAAGCATATTGAGACCAAGTATCATTTTCTGAGACATCAAGTTCAGAGTGGAGTGTTAGAAGTTGTACACTGCAGCACTCAAAAACAGTTGACAGATGTTCTGACGAAAGTTATCAAGACTGATCAATTTCTCAGACTAAGGGATGGAATTGGTGTTACAAGTTTTGATGGAATATGAATTAAGGGATGATATTAGAAGTAATTCATATTTATTAGTTGTACTATTTTCTTAGCCTCTAAGTTTGTTAGGGGGTATTTTAGTATTTTTATCTTATTCTAGTAACCCTAGTATTAGTTTATAAATGGAGTAACAATCATTGCAATTTTGTAGTTGTGTGTAGCCGTCATTCTCTTAATAGAATATTTCTCTATTCATCATTTATTCTACCTTTGCACCAACAATTGTGGAGACAAAACTTTTGTAGAAATAAATCAAAAATTTTAAAAATTATTGAAGAAATGAATAGATCTAAAAAAATAAATTATTTCATTGATTTTGATAATTATTTAATATTTTGTAAAAAGATTATAATTTAATAGATCTAAAAACTAACAAATTGTTTTCCTTCGGCAAAGAAAATTGCTGAAGAAATAAATAAATAATATAGAAGAAAAAATAACGAAGATGTGTTTGTTTCAAGAATTGCAATTACATAAATTGAAAATGCAACAATCATATATTTGATTCAATTTTTTAAAAATTTAATTTAAAGTATTTTTTAATTTTCAAAATATTGTTACACGTAATTTTTCTCATTATTATTCACATGCTTTAAAGAATTCAACGTGATGGAATAAAGTTTAACTACTATTCACATTTAATTTTAATTATATTTTTTATAATTTTAAAATAAATCAATATTATAAATATTTTTAAAAATTTTAATGTTTGGCTAAACACTTGGGGAAATAATAATCTTGAGAGTAAGATTTCAAAGAATGATATTTCATAACTTGAAGGAAACACGTCCTTAAAATTATACTATAGATTTGTAGCTTGAAACATTTTTTTATACATGACAATTCAAATGTAAGTGAAAAATATTTTGCAAGCAAAATTATAATTTAATAGATCCGAAAAATAACTAATTCTTTTTCTACAAATACTAAAAATAAAATTTATTGAAAAGATGTATTGATTTAAAAAACAGGAAAAACACAATTAAAATTAGAGATGATTTTGCGGGTTGGACCATATTCTTCTTTCGATACATAACCGATTATAAAATAAAAGTGAAAATTATTGATTTCATAGTTTAATAGAAAACTCAAGTGAATAGAATTGGAGAAATAACCGATAATTTATTTAAAATTTTTATTTTTATTTTAATTATTTAAAAAATAATACAATAGTTGTGATACATTGATAATATAAATAACAATTAATCTCATCTAAAAAATCTAAAAGATGTAAATGACACAATGCATTGTATAAAATTGAATGGATTAAATGGTAAGCAATTAAGTAACTAATATATATATAATTTATCAATGAATTGCCAAATGAATTTGTATAAATTTTTTCCTTCAATAATTAACAAATAAAGAATTCACCTTTTAATGAAATATCCAATGATGACTTAAACAAATAAAGAATTCACCTTTTAATGAAATATCCAATGATGACTTAAACGTGTAAGTTCAAAGTTATTGTGATAATTTGAATGCAATACATGTAATTTCAAAGTTATCGTGATGACTTAAATGCAAATTACTGAGTTGACTTGAATGCAATACGTGTTGGTTGAAAGTTATTGTACTAACTTGAATGAAATGTTATATAATCAAGTAAAAATTTCTTAATTCAATTTTGAATTGCTTAAATCTTTTGTGTTAATATGGATCCACGTAAAATAATTTAGTTTATCAAATTTAGTTGTTCCTATTAAAAATGCTCTAAGATCGTCTCAACCTTCAGCCAGCAAAATCATTGTTTTATGTC